CCAGTACACCCGGTACAGGAGACTTGCCCCTTCGGGTAGTTGTGGAGCACCAAAGACGGGCAGACAGCAGTGGATCATAACCAGGCTGCAGTTTGCACACGCTATTTGTTGTTGTTTATATCACGCAGTCTGTTCTTCTTCTCTGTCTTCCGGTTGTTGCCTATTTTTAATGACGAATACACACTACCGCCGCCTGCTGGTAAGGAGAGTTATTGCCACTCACGCACTGAAGTCTTTGCGGTGTGTTCCCGTGCAACACATGGCCAAGACGCAGGAGAACACCGCGACGCAACAGCCGACGTCGGCGTCGGCGAGTCCTCTGGTGACTGCTTGGTGTGTCAGGGCCTTTAGCCGAAAACCCGCCGATTCAACAATCGCCGGGTTTTCGGCCGAAAAGCCGTCGGCACGGCTGAAAAGACCAGACGGTACGGGACACACCAATCTGAGTAGGGCGTGTCGAAGCTCATCGTCGGCCTGATGCCCACCGACGCCGATAATCGGCCTGGTGTGTCCGTGCCTTTACTCAAGTAAAAATAGAAAAGTATTAGCATCGAAATATAGTTAAAGTAACAAAAGTGTGTCATTGTTCAGATATAATGATATGTTTTATAATGATTGATCATCAAAGTGTTCTCAAAGCTGGTAAAGATGCAGCTAGTTCGAATGACTTTGTATACTGCAGGGTATTTACCTCTGAATTGTAGTGGAGTAGAAGTACAAAGTGTCTACAAATGTTACTTAAGTAAAGTATGTGAGAAACAGTTCACCTTCACCCACATCTGTTGACCTGCATTCTGATCTGTGATCTTCATGGCCTTTTTGGACTGTAAGCTAAGTTTGACTCTTTCTCTTTAGAGATTCTCTCGCTCACACATTTCAAACAGGTAAGTTTGAACAGAGCCAAAGGAAACAATACTGAGCAGTTTCTACTTCCTGTTTATGAGGATTTGTATAACTGGAGCTGATAGTGGGACTGGAGAAGTGAATGCCCTACAGGCAAACATTACAAATACATATTCAAAAAGGGAACAATTTATTCTGTGAGAATTTTTAAAAACTGAAGATCAGCAAACAATGTTGGGCCACATACACGCAGTGCGCTGCTGGTGGAAGGTGTTTAAGGCTTTCTTAATGTTAACACATATTGTCTCTGCTTCAGTATTTCTTGGAAAGTGTAGTCATACAATTTGAAAAATAATCATTCAGAAATTATCATTAACCCTTTATGTTGTCAATACATAAGCTGCCTTTTATTTCAAGTTCAGTGTGGCTGCAGCAGATGTGTTAGATTAAAACAGTAACGGAGCGTCCACACTACAGCTTAAAAAAAAGCTTGGAGCTGGGCGTGTCTGAAGTTTGGGGATTTTATTCAAGCACCGCGACCAACAACCAATCACATGTATCATATGTAAAACCGGGTGATTTGCTACGGCGATAATTAGTTTCTCCATCTTTTTTTGAAATATAGAAATCAACGGCGGGATATCTCTCCCAGCTTAGACGCGGTTTGATTGGCTACGGCTTGATCTGTCAGATTTTCCGAAACGGGATTTGATTGGCTGGCGCTGGCTACTCCGGCGTCAGAAGTTGAACATTGTTCAACTTCTGACGCCGGCCCGTCTACACTACAGGCATAAAAAAATCTTGAAGCTGGGCGTGTCTGAAGCTTGGCGATTTTTTGCGAGCAACGCGACCAACAACCAATCACATGAATCTCCTGCCCCCGACATACAAAGCAATAGCAATGTTAAAACGAAGTAAACTGGATATAAAATCCCCAAACAGGCGAAAACCTACCAGTTTCACCCGCTGTCTCTGCCACCTCCCTCCATGCCTGGTTCCTCCACTGTCTCTGCCTCCTCCCTCCATGCCTGGTTCCTCCGGTTTGTATCCCGGTAAATAGTTCTGGTCGGAAAGAACCGGGTGATTTGCTACCGTAATTTCTCGTTTGGAATATGAGGAAATTAACTGCGGTCTGGCTCTCCCAGCTTGCTCGCGGTTTGATTGGCTAGCGCTTGTACTGGCGGGAATTGCAAAAACGGGATTTGGTTGGCTGACGCCAGCTTCGAACAAGCATCGAGCCTCAAAAGTTGAACATTGTTCAACTTTTGACGCCGATAGACGCTCGCGATGCTTGCAACGCCTTGCCATGCTACCCACAATGCAGTTCGGCGAAGTTTGAAAATATCCTACGTCACCCCATTCAAATGAATGGGCGAAGCGTTGAAAGCATTTTTTGACGCCTGTAGTGTAGACGGGCCGTAACGGGCCGTCTACACTACAGGCATCGAAAAAGCTTGGAGCTGGGCGTGTCTGAAGCTTGGCGATTTTTTGCGAGCAACGCGACCAACAACCAATCACATGAATCTCCCGCCCCCGACATACAAAGCAATAGCAATATTAAAACGAAGTAAACTGGATATAAAATCCCCAAACAGGCGAAAACCTACCAGTTTCACCCACTGTCTCTGCCACCTCCCTCCATGCCTGGCTCCTCCGGTTTGTATCCCGGTATATAGTTATGGTCGGAAAGAACCGGGTGATTTGCTACCGTAATTTCTCGTTTGGAATATGAGGAAATGAACTGCGGTCTGGCTCTCCCAGCTTGCACGCGGTTTGATTGGCTAGCGCTTGTACTGGCGGGAATTGCAAAAACGGGATTTGGCGCCGATAGACGCTCGCGATGCTTGCAACGCCTTGCCATGCTACCCACAATGCAGTTCGGCGAAGTTTGAAAATATCCTACGTCACCCCATTCAAATGAATGGGCGAAGCGTTGAAAGCATTTTTTTACGCCTGTAGTGTAGACGGGCCGTAAGAGTTTGGACAGGTCAACGAAGCATCAAATACCACCTGTCCTGTTCTTAATTATACAGTCTATGGTATCTTCATAACACTTTGGCCACACAAGTTACTTTATGCAGGATTTGGGAGTAACAGATTACATTTAACAGGATTACATCTTCAGAATTTAAAAAAAGATACTGTAATTCCTCATTTACATTAAAAGAAGATGTAATCAGATTACTGTAACATTTTTAAATCATGGGAATTATAGCAGAACTACAATGTTACAATATATGTCAAAAATAAATATCAATATATTATAGGCACTGTACTGTCTGAATTGTCTTTTGGTTTTCATTTTGACTACTTTCATTTTTCTTTATTCCACTTTAAATGTATTTTTTTCATGTAGTAGGTGGCACCTGATTTATTTAACAAAAATACTGTGTTAGCTTTTTAATCATGTAAAACAGAATTAGTCAACTTTATTCTTATTACGACCTATTTTGATACTAAATATATGTTCTTCTTTTCAAAGGTTACATTGTTCTGTGTTCTTACATTAATACACATCTTATTGATATTTATAGTCGCTTGTATTTATTTGTATTGTGTTTGATAATAATGTAATACAAATATTATGTAAAGTAATCAGGTTTAGTATTATGATACTTAAATCAGGTTACTGATAAAACAAAATTATGTATGCAGTTTACTATTTTGCTCGAGTTATATGGTAAAAAAACAAACATTAGTTTTATATGAGAAATAATGTGGTACAAGGAACATTTTTGTTGCAATTTATTTTCATTATAAAGACACACAAATAGAGTAGGAAATCACCTGTAAAGCAGGAAACATGCTGACATGTTGTCTTCAAGGTGCAAACATGTGACTGTTGATAGCATAGACTCAATAATACAAAAACCCGAAACATTAATATTTTGATAAAGTAAAAATATATTGGTGATAAATTAAATGTATAATCTTTAAACTGATTGCATCATTGAATCATTGAGTAAAGGCTTTGTTTCTAAAGATGTTGGGAATGTGTACTTTACTCTTTTGAATTGTCAGGTGAAAACAAGTGAAAGAATAAAGGGGAGAGAATGAGCGTGATCCCCCACTCATCCCCCAAATAATATATATCACTGTGATAATATGTCATCATTAGAACTGATGAGTGTTCAGCTGGAGCATGTGGATAATGCGACAGCCCGGAGGAGGGTCCCGCTCAGCGGCCGGTGATTGACATTCTCCCGCAGACCCATCATCTGCTGATACGGCAACAAGCTGGATCAAGTCAGCCATATTAAGCGAGACTATGACCGGAAACCTAGTTGTTTTACTGTCAAAGTAAAAGCAAAGGGAAACTCCAACCATGATTATATGCAACTCGTGTTTGACCCTTGCAAATGAAGAAGGAAAGGAATTTAGATGTAAGTAAAACATAGTAGCCTAATACCACGGTGTATAAATATTCAAATACTCATACAGCATTCAAAATGTTACTTTAATAAACGTGCAAAAGTATTAGCATCAATATACTTACAGTACCAAAAGTAAAAGTAATCATTATGCGGGATGCTTATTTTCAAAACAGTTTACTTGTTTATAATGACGAGTGATTGATGTTATGTGTAGCCTATTATTTTAACTTTGCAGCTGGTGAAGGTGGAGCAGACTTTACTGTCTTTTTATATTACCAGGAATCTTAATCCATAATAGAAGGCTACGCCATAGATCATTGGTTGATTTATATGTTGTATTATGAACCTGCAAATTAATTAACTAAAGCAAATAAAGGGGAAAAAGGAAAAAAATGTGCTTTCAAATTGCAGTGGGGTAGAATTATGAATTAGTGTTAAAGGGATATACTCAGGTATAGTACAAGTTTCCTAGCTCGAAACTGTAGTTAAGTACAGTAGGCCTACTTGATTACATGTAGGGCCTATTTAGTTAGCCTACCTTCCAACAATGTTTTCATACGGAAAACCCCAGCTTTTTTTTCTAAGAAAACTGAAAAAATAACACAAATAAATATTTGTTGTGATAAAACCATAGGATAAAATGTAATTTTCACAATAGTATTTTACTATTATACTTAACATTACTCAACAAATAATTACATTTTAATGATTTTATTTTTGAAAACTTGGACCGGAAGTGCTGCATTCCGAAATGCTACCATGACAATGTTTTGGTGACGAGGTGCAGTTGCGGTAGTTTAGGAGCGGTAGACGCCAAGTAGAGGACAGGAGAAGAGACCGGGCCCAACAGGAGACAGGGGACAGCATAAATGGCCTCGGTGCCTGAGGAGTAAAGAATGGGCTCCACGCTATCTCAGCCATGGCCAGATCCACTAACAGAAGCGCCGAGGACGGGGACTCACGGGTAACCGCCCCCACCGAGCGCGGAGAGGCGCGGGACCTTGCCGAGCCCCGGGAACTGTCTCTGAAGGAGGTGCTGAAGTCCTACGAGCAGCCCATCAACGAGGAGCAGGCATGGGCGGTGTGCTACCAGTGCTGCAGCGGGCTGAGGAGGCTGCCCCGCCCGCCGGCCGGGGGATTCAGTGGGTTGAAGGACCCGTCCTCCATCCTCCTGCACCGGGACGGAACCGTGTCACTGCCGCAGGAGACCCCACACCACGGTAGGACAGCTGTCCGTTACTGGTGTAACTGACACCAACTTCTCTCTGCTCTGTTTGTTACAGCTCTGACACAAACAGTCACTGTGAAATATACATTTGAACAATTTGCCTGTTCTGTACCAATTAAGTTATCGCTTACCGTTTGCCACTATTATGTGTTAAATAACGAGCCACTTTTCAATTCGGCTTATATCTATGTCCACAAATCAGCACTGATACACATTTGTTTTTAACTGGTCCGACTGATTCCCGTTGTCTTCCTCCTTCAAATCACTCCGCCATAACACCTGCAACTTAACTGAGCAGACACATATTCATGTGCACATTCTTAAACACATCCTACTTACAAACCAACAGTGCGGAATTAAACCATGTCCACCATTGTTTCATTTAATATATTGAATACGGCTTAATTTAGCAGGGACCTTGAAATAAAGCAATGCTACTTGAAAGTAACTGAATTCCGTACTGAGTTTGGCACACAGGAACATCCTGTTCACAGGAGAGACGCATTGATGCTATCCCGTCCCAAACAACTTAATATCCCAGCCTCATTGAGCTTTATTTACAGTTGAATAATAGCCCAGCTCTCCACTTTGAATATAGATAGTATTTGTCATATATTTCATTATACTTTACCCAGTTTCTGAGATAATATTTATTTGTGTAAATATTCTTTTTTGTTTGCTACGTATTTTTCTTTCTGTTTCTTTCTGGTTCTGTGATGGTTTGAATGCACCAATTATACCAAAGCAAATTTCCATTATGTGTAAACCTACTTGGTAATAAACCCGATTCTGATTGTGTACACTGTAAAATATTACCATGATTTCACAATATTTAGCTGTAATATTTTACAATAAATTACTGTTTTACCACTTTACAGTCTTTACCTGTAATGTTCACAATATAACACAGTTAATTACTGTGAATGTACAGGATAAATGATTACCAGGATTTCACAACATGTTACTGTATTATTTCATAGTAAAATACTGTATTCAGACCATCCTATGTGATAACACAACAAATTAAGTGAATTTCTTGCTTTTATCGCTCTTGCTTGGCTTTAAATACTAATTTCTTTCTTTGGTGCAGGTTTTACTTAAATTGAAAGGGGCACCGCTGCATGTGCCTTCAAATAAACGATATACATATACATCTATGTAACATTTAAATTGTTGTCTTGGCTTAGTGTTTTCAGGTGCTTCCTGGGCATTAACCCTGAGACGGGCTCGAAAGCCAAAAAGAGGCATGGCAATTTAAACCTCCATGTCAGCACATTCTTCAGAAAAATTATTGACTTTGAGTGGATGTCTGTGTAGACATGTGTTAAGTGCTCCCCTCCTTGTTTTCTGTCTCCCTGGCTCCGCCTCTGCCCAGGTGCACCTGGTCTGCCCCTGGCTCCACCTCTGCCCAGGTGCACCTGGTCTGCCCCTGGCTCCGCCTCTGCCCAGGTGTTCCAAATTCCACCCAGCCGTGTGTATATATAAAGAGAAGCTGGAGGAGAAGGATGTCTCGCCTATCCTAACGCCGGGAGACACTGTCCTTAGAATACCTCTTTGCCATTTTGAGCTGTAGGCCATATTTTTGCAGATGTGTTTATGTTTAGCCTGGAGGACCTGGTAGTCCAGTTTTCGCAGCTTTATTTTGTTTCCCATAGGGTTTATACTTGAGTTTTGGTTAGGCGGGGGAGTTCTGGGTCCTACGGTCCGTGGTGTGGCTGGCTCGGGTTCCCTCCTTCTGTTTGTTCCTTTTGGCCACTCCTCCAGACCTCTTTTTGTTTCCCATTTCGCTTGTGTGAGCAAACGGCTGATTAAATAAATGCTCGTTACCAAGTACCGGTTATTGCGTGTATTCTTTCATGTTGCGGGTCTCAGCACGAGCTACTACCGCGGAGTAGAGGTTGGGGCCGTAACAACATGTCCAAGACACTGTGAAATGTACTTTGCACTTCAATGGAGTAATAAAACGTTAAAATGGGCATTTTCTTTGTTTTTCTTTGTTGATTGAGCTGATTGAATTGTGTAGTTATGGTACAATCCCAGTCAAATTTACAATATATTATCGTATTATTTAGATTTGTATATTTACAGTAAATTACTGGCTACTGTGTTGTATTACTTGTACAGTAATAGTGTGAACATACAGGTAACTAATTACTGTAATTTATGTACAGCAAGGTACCATAATACCACAGCTCTGTACTGCTATATCACAGTAATTCCATGGGCATGGCAACTGTAAATTCACAGTATTTAGTTGTACTTTTATTCTAATTAACTGTAAAATATATACAGTAAATTACTGTGAAATATTTACAGTCAATTACTGTGAAATATTTACAGTCAATTACTGTGAAATCCATGCAACTAGTAGCCAGTAATTTACTGTAATTTTACAGCCAAACATTTTACAGTGTAGGACCTAAACTGACAGACACAGTATTATTAATAAAGTATTATGATCAGGACAGTGTTATTATCAGGACAGTTATTGTGTCGCACTCTCTCTGCCAGCAAGTATGACTTGTATGCCGGTAAATTATTAATTATTTATAGAGCTGCTGAACAACCTACCCTAGCGTTCCGTTTTGCTAATACTGTTGGGACACTTCAAAGGCTGGAGGGAAGACCCCACACACACACACACACACACACACACACACACACACACACACACACACACACACACACACACACACACACACACACACACACTAGTCGTGGCTGTGGTCCTGGATCATAGGTCCTGGATGGATATCCTCGTGGATTCATCTTCCTATTATACACACATGCATTTCCAAACATTTGGACTACCTATGTTGCAAATGTATTATCTTTTCAATTTACACACGGCATCTATTGCACGTCTGTCCGTCCTGGGAGAGGGATCCCTCCTCTGTTGCTCTCCCTGAGGTTTCTCCCATTTTTCCCTTTAAACTGTGGGTTTTCTTCGGAAGTTTTTCCTTGTACGATGTGAGGGTCTAAGGACAGAGGGTGTCGTATTGTCATACTGATATTTTGTACAAACTGCAAAGTCCACTGAGACAAATGTAACATTTGTGATATTGGGCTATATAAATAAACATTGATTGATTGATTGATTGACTAGGGCTGCACGGTATTGAAAAAAACTGACATCGCGGTTTCCCCCCCCCCCTGCGGTATATATTGCGGTTTTTTTAACCTGTTAAACCCCAAAGTCCCGGCGGGTACTTTATTTATTTTTTTCATGACAGTGTCTCAGGGGATCGTAATATTTAAGAACCTATTAATGTGTTATACCAGATTAACGGAAATAATCTCAGCTAACTGACGATACAAACCATTTTATACCAAAACAAAACACAAGTCTCATAAGAAGCATCTAAATGACCCCTGAGCGAAAAATGCTAATGCACTTTGGCACAGAACTCAAGATAAAAGTACCCTTATTATTACTTATCGTAGCTGCACTTACAAGATATCCGATTAAAGCTGAGGTTCCACAGATTATTTAGGTATATAGTATCATCACTGAGTGATCTGAACTCGGACAGGGGAAGCAAACACAGACATCACAACACGTACCTTTACGTAGCTTCGAGGGGAGATGTCTCACCGTAGCTGTCAATCTGATCAAAAGACGTGTTCAATGGCATTAAAACGAGAAAGAAAAAACGCGGCTGAATCGGTTAATCCATAGGTTTTTAACGTCTCTGTATAAAAAAATGATTTAATTTATAATCCATAATTCCATTTTTATGTAAATATCGCAGAGCAAAAGTTAGCTGCTAATGGTAGCCACCATAGTGGCTGCTGCTTCCGGTCTTGGCTATGCGGAAGTCTCTCACACACACATTACCAAATAAGGACTGTGATTTCCCCTCGATTCTATTGGCTCTGACGGTCAGAAAGAGATGTCACATGTCAAAATCCAGCAAGGTGGGCCAGAGATATGGAAAATCCACCCAAATGGCCCCAAAAGAGGGTTTTTTTGTGTGCTAAATCTGTCTAAAAAGGTCAAATATCAGGGGAAGTTCTACACACACCAACACATGAACAAATAAGGAGTGAGAGTGACGACGCGTAGCCAAAACTGGAAGCTGCATACCACCAAGGTGGCTACCATTAGCAGCTATATTTTGTGATCCGATTTTTACATAAAAATGGAATTATGGATTATAAACAATTGCTTCAAAGCCACAGATACATTATCAACCTATGGATCAACCGATTCAGCCGCGTTTTTTCTTTCTCGTTTTAATGCCATTGAACACGTCTTTTGATCAGATTGACAGCTACGGTGAGACGATCTCCCGTAAAAGCTCCGTAAAAGGTACGTGTTGTGATGTCTGTGTTTGCTTCCCCTGTTGCGAGATCGGATCACTTAGATACTATACTTAAATAATCTGTGGAGTCTCAGCTTTAATCGGATATATTGTATGTGCAGTTTCGATAAGTAATAAGGGTATTTTTATTTTGAATTCTGTGCTAAAGTGCGTTAGCATTTAAAAAAAAAAAATGAATAAAACCACACGTACCTGCGGTGTGAATACCGCGCATGCGCATACCGCGGTTATCGCCATGACACGGTATATCGTTCAGCCCTAACACACACACACACACACACACACACACACACACACACACACACACACACACACACACACACACACACACACACACACACACACACACACAGTTTGTATTGTATTATATCCTAATCCTATAATCCTACATTTATTTTAGGAGATTTTAATCACTGTCAGGTGCATAAGACCTTAAAAACATACGAGCAGTATGTCACATGTCCTTCAACTTTAAATAAATCCACGATTTACTTCTGTTACGGCACGGTGCCTGGTGCGTTCAAGTCCCTGACCATGACCCCTTTTGGAGCTTTATACCACACAAGCGTTCTTCCGGTGCCGATCTACAAACCCATCTGCAGGAAACAAGTATGCACAAAAAAAACTGTGAAATGTTGGACAGAGGAAAGCATTGCCACCTCACAGG